CCATGGACCAGAGCACACCAGGCCCTCTTGTCTTCCACTGCCTCCTGGCAATGTATATGTGCAAGCATAACTGCCTAGAAGGATGACTTTTCTGATTGCACTTATTTAAGGCCAAACACATTTTCTAAATAAATTGTGTTATCCTGTATCTGGCTTTATTTTGCATTTGCAGCACAACCAGGTTGACAGTTTGGTTTCATTCCTAAACTTCAGCTGCTTTGATTCAGGCAAAGCTAAAATAGCTGTTGTGGCATCATAACAAGACCACGACAAAAGCCTGCCTGTTCCAGCTTCCTGTTTCCCACAGTGGCAAAAAATTAGACATCTCTGGGAAGTCCACCAGCAGCACAGCTGACGTTCTCTGCTACCTCCCAGCAACTGATAAACAGAGACCCTACTTTTATCAAATCTCCTGTTAAAACCATCCTGACCCAAACAGGTAGGGCAGACTTGTACACATTTCTGCTTCATTTGCTTCTGAAAAAAGATGCCATTTCCTTACTACGCTTTTTTCCAGCATTGCTTGCTACACATGCTGGATGAACAGACAACAGGCAAGCTTTCTTATGTGAAATAAAGTACCACTGCAAAAGCTGCCTTCTTCTAAATACCTTCCTGCTCCTAATTTTGCAGCTATCTTGGCCTAAAGTAAGACAAAAACTCTTAGATCAGGAGTTGGCAGCATATGACCCTCCAAACGAAGGGACCATGTACACAAAAAGCACTACATGAAACATGCAGGAAGAACACACCTTTGATCAGATCACACAGAATGCAGTTTGGAAAGATAAAACACTGCTAGCTATACATATATGCACATGTTTTTGTCCCCTCAAGGAGTCTCCGTAAAGGAATAATGCTGGCCAGGTTTCCTTTGCCAGGGTGGTGCTAGCTTTCCAATCTAGATTAGAGAAGGAAACGGACACAGCAGGGGTTGCTCCTTCCACCAGCAGGATGGCTGGGTTTTCTCTCTCTCTCTTCCCCCAGGCGAATACCAGGACCAGTCCTATGCAAATTGAACTCTGGAGCCTGGACAGTCTCACTGCACCAGTACCTTTTTCCTATCACCTTGGAAGTCTCCTTTCCATCCAACTTTGTACCCTCTTTGCAAGATAATAAATTGCTTTCCTGTCAGAACAATACAACAATGTAACCATGTATTTCCATAACTGCTGTCTATAGACCCACCCTGTTGTAAAATTCTATCCCTTCTGTGATTCCCACTCTGATAAAGTTTGGATTTCTTTTTAATCCCATCCCTTTTGCCAATAGGTCATGAACCACCCATTTCTCCTCCCATTCCCTTGTGTAACCAATGTTATAGAAGTCTTGGTCTTTGTAGTGAACAGACCTGCCCTCACCTGTCCGTCACAGCTGAGCTGTGGAGAAGGAGCCAATGAATGGACAGAAGGCAGTGCCAAGGGGGGAGGGGGCTTGATATAAAGGCTGGTGTATGGAGCATGAGGGAGATTCTGTGAGTGAGAGACAAGGTGAAACTTAAAAGTGAACTTAGAGTGAATTAGAGTTCTGTAAGAACGCTGAATGGTACAGAGAGTTATTAGAGATTTAAAGTCAAAGTAGAACTGATACAAATACAAGTGATTAGCAACCTGTGATTTACTTATCGAATACTAATCAGATGTTAACTTCCCTGATCTAATAAATGAGTTAAGTTTTAGAACCACACATGTCTCTTTGATTGAACGGTATTGAGACAGCAATACCTGGTGGCAGCGAAGGAAAAAGAAAGGCGTGAAGGCCTGGGGGAATAGGGGCTTCAGAGGGGATCACCACAGTCTTCCTCTGGATGACATGGTTGTTCTTGCCTACACTTGGATGCATGACTTCCGTCTGCCTTTTATTTAGCTAAATAAAACAGCAACCATTTGTACTCTCTCTTGTGTCAAGATTATTGCCGTTAAAACTTTGACTCACTGTTCTGGAGACTAGCTCCTGGTTTCAACACAAACACTGCTGGATTACAACTTCCATCATCTTTCACCACTGACTTTGCTGACTAAGGCTAATGGGAGTTGCAGTCCACCAGCACTTGGAAAGGGACTAGTGGTCCACCCACCTGTATGTGCATTAGATCAATCTTTGGAAACAGTCCAGTGTCTGAATATGTCAGACTCAGAAAAGGCTTTCTTTCTGGGAACTGATTGAAGAAAGGCTTGCAGAGGGCAATAGGTAGGCTGACAGAATGGGAGCACAATTAGGGAACCATGCAAGCAGGCAGCATGAGTGCTAGAGTTTGTGGCCCCAAATCGCACATGCCTCGGGCCATAGCTTCCGAATGAGAATAACAAAGTTGCATTTTGGATGTGGTAATTAACTCTAATGGTGTGTGTGTGTGTGTGTGTGTGTGTGTGTGTGTGTGTGTCTGTCTGTCTGTCTGTCTCTCTGTCTGTCTGTCTGTCTGTGTCTGTGTGTGAGAGAGAGAAGGAATAAGACATGCAGTGAATCCTGAAATGCAACAGTGCACACCTTTCTCCATTTGAGTGACCTCAAATATCCTTAGCAGTATAGTGAAGTGGCAAACATTGAAGCGGAAGTTGCTTATCAAGAGAGTCTCTACAGCCAGTCTCCAATCCAGTAAAGTTCAGAAATCCCTCTTATCTATCAACATGCCAATCGTAGCCATTTTCATCCTCACCATAAGTGTGTCTTTCAAAAATTTTATTATGTGCTGTCAAGTTGTTTTCAACATATCACATCCTTATGAATTGAAATGACCTCCAAATGTTTCTGCCATTATTTCTTCTTATTCAACCTAGACAGGAGCATAGACTGGAATGCTAGTTGTGTTGATAGACTTTCCATGAAGTCTGATTGACACTGGTCAGATTTTGTGTTATAAACCTTAACTGCTTGTGGTACATCTTGCTTCATTATTAGTCCCATGCCCTTTGTTCTGAATGTGTGGCTTCAATAGGAAAAAACCTTTCTCATTGTCTAATTGAAAACATCATATTCCAATCTAAGTACTTCATTTTAGTTCACTTACATCAAGTACTACAAAGTTTAATATTTTTGTTTTGCAGTTTAAATAGGGATGTGCACTAGCACCGAAATTCAGATTCAAGATATACAGAACGACTATGGTATCCGGGGGCAATCGGTTCTGGTAATTACATTGTGGAAATATGTATTTCTGGTTTTTTTCTTTTAATGTTTTTAATGATTTCAGACTTTCAGTGGATAAGTAAAAAAGTGTGAATACTGATGCTGTGGATACGGTCGTACTGTATTCTATATGTGCATTAAGTTCTTAAGACTTCATTTATTGGAACTTGTATATTTCACTATTAAGACTTCTACATATAAATATATGTATGGAGAGATAATACTAGTGCATATAATCTTGCTTATATATTCAAAAAAAGGAAGAAAAACAATAATTCTTCTGGAGACTTTGTATGCATCTGGGGCACATTATTTGAAGGATATCCAGAGGGAGAAAGTTGTTTGTGCATAATGAATCTTTTGGATCCTACTGAAGACATCCTACACAGGGATTGTTAACTGTGATGGTCTTCACAGGTTGACTAGTTAAGAGGTGTTATAAATTATATAGTGTGCGGAGGGCGTAGTTAACATATTGGCCTCAACAGCCTTGGGTAACTATGGTAAGAATCTAGACTTGTAATAGAAACTGGTTGCTGAATGACATTTCTTTTGTCTCTACCAATGCACTTAAACCTCCTCACCATATTAAAGGTGTGTATCCAAAGGGTAGGTTGAAAACTAATAGGATTTAATTGCTCATTCAAGAACAGACATTAACAAAGCATCCTGCAGTAAGCGGGGATAACTTATCTGTTGATTGGGAAATTGATTCTCCCTAATCTGAGCTGATGGATGGAACACAGAAACTTGAAGAGGGCGACAGATGACATCTTTGTCTCTAAAAGTCTGGGAAAGTAGGTTGAACTCATGCTACTGCTGCTTCCTGACAATATGCCGCTCACTACAGAAATGCATGAACTATTTTTCTTGTACCCCCACAATGGCCTGGCCCTTACATCTCTGTAACATCAGTGTTCCTGTACCCTACAATGTCTTGCCATGTTATCATATTAGCATGAGGAAACTATACGCAGACCAATTGGGGTAGGAGAAGGATTTGTTTTCAGCTGGGCTGACGGGTGTTCGGCTGATCTCTGAAGCAGCCCGCTGCTCTAAAGATACACTCCTGTGATAGCAGAAGTACCTAGAATGAGCAAGAGTTTCCTATCCTAAATTCAGACATAGATATGGGCCGGAATGTGGTTTGGGAGAACTGGTAAAGCATATAAGGAACAATGCAGGGTAAATAAGAATAAGAACAAGGACAACAACAACAATGAAGCTGTTGAGTGATGACTCCGCTCATGACCCTAGTGCAGTCCTGGGCTCAGTTAGCTGGCTCAAGGTTGACTCAGCGTTCCATCCCTCAGAGGCTGGTAAACTGAGTGCCCAACTCAATAGGGGGGAGGGGGCAATGTGTAGCCTGCATAATTAAATTATAAACTACCTAAAGGAGTTTTAAGCACTATATACGCAGCACACTTTACTTTTGCTTTGCTTTAATTAATAACGTAGGGACAACACCGACTATTACTGTAGGTCGAAGGCATAACTCTGGGCAGAGGAAGGAAGAATACTGGTGCTAAATAAATTCCTGTTGGGACTGGAGAGCAGGACATTAAAAGCAGATGAAAAGCAATTCTTGGGGAAAAGCAATTCAACAAGGCTGGGACTTCCATCAGAGATCAGCACTGGACATAGGAAGTGGGAATGAGAACACAGGAGGAAATAGAGGAGTGCCTTTGAATAAAGGGAAATACTGCAGATACATCACTTGTGTGCAAAACAGAACACATCACCAGTGTCACAAATAATAATAATAATTGTGAGCCACCAAATCAATTCTGACTTATGGCAACCCTTTGCAAGGGTTTCTAGATAGAGGGTACTCAGAAGTGGTTTACCATTCCTTTCTTCTGGGTGCACACTGGGACTGTGAAGCTTGTCCAGGCTTTTCTAGGATGCACAGTAGGGAATTGAACTCTCAACCTTGGCGCCACGGAGTTATCCAGCTAGGAAATACAACCAGCAAGGAAGGAAATACAACCATGAAAAAGCAGAATGTTAACATCTGGTGCTAGGGTAGTTTTATTACCACATGGAAAAATGCCCAGAAGGCAGACTGTTATCAATATTACGTTGGGATATGGCATGAGGCACATGGCTAAAGAAACCTCAAACCTCTGTACCAATCTTACTAAAGCACTGATAAAAAAAAACACAGAGTTTCTTTTTTTAGAAGATTGTAAACAAACTTGAATATTAATGAAATTGATGTATGATTCCTCAAAGCAGACACCCTTTAGAATATGCAGATGCTAACAGAAGTAGATAATTATAAAGGGGATTTATGGAACACTCATCTTCCCCACTGGTAAACATGCTGAATTTCAAAACAATGTCACTGTCAGTGAACTCTTTTTGTTGTGCCAAAGTATACTTTAATTGCTTCATTTACACTCAGGGAAAACATTGCACTCCTGCTATGGTTTTGAATTATCTGTGTTGAAAGACTGTATGCTAATCATACCAGGAGGTCAATATAAGTTTCACATGGATATAACAGATTAATGATGTTGATACTGTTTTACATTCTGCCCAAAAAGACAGAGTGATTTAGTGATCCCATGTGTCGAGTCATGCCGCACAGTTAGAAAACCAGCATATCAAGGACGGCTACTTCAACTAGAACTGCAAGTAGAAGACTTTTTTTTCCTCCTCTGAGGTACAGGATTTCTAGCCCTCCAGATGTTGTTTAATTGTTACTCCCACCAGCCACCAAATATAATAAATGGCGAGGCCCCGCAGGAGCTGTGGCCATCCAAATCAGACTCTCATGAGCCCTAGCCAATAGTAAGGGATAATGCAAAATGGAGTCCAGCAACATCTGGAGGGCCAAATGATATCCTTTCATGAATTGTCCCCTTCTCTCTTGTTCTTCTGAAGAGTCTTACAAATAAATTTAAAATGCATTTTAAAAAGCCACTTTTTTTCTATGTGAAAACTGACGGTTAGTTACAGATGATGAAGCTACCACATCTATGTACAAAACCATTGCTCCACAACCATTATATTATTGTTATGTGCCATCAATTCCCTTCCCATGAATGGCAACCCTCAGAGGGTTTTTGACGTATGTGAGATGTTCAAGGACTAGTTTACCATTGCCACTCCTGAGTGCATTTCTGTGGCCAAGCATAAATTTGAACCCAGGTCTCCTGAACCCCAGTGCAACACACTATCCACTACATAACACTGGCTTTAATTATCTAGAACTATGCAAATGAACAATTTTTACCACACCTCGGCACCTGAATGAACAAACAGAGAAGGTGAGGTGCATATTGTGGTCAAATTTTTGTGGCCAAGGAAGAAAGACTCTGCAAATCTCTTCACATTTTCTTGCATTCACCCATTAAGTAAATTATATTTTACCCAGTATGACACATATTCTATGAAATTTCATATATAAATTCCCAAGTGGCTCTGAAGCTTTAGTTGATCTATTTCATCCTTCCATGCATTTCTTCACATGACAGAGGCAAGTGTAAAAATCACTTTGTCTACACAAAACCATGCTTTTATGAAGTGGTCACATTTTGAGATCGGATTGGCAGGTATAGCATCCCTAAGTGTCTTCCATATTGTTTATCAATGGAAATCTGGATCTCTTTGCTCTTCTGTGCTACAATACTGCTAGATGTTTAGCACTTAATTTAATATATAGATATAATGACTTTATCAGGACAAACACATTTGCTTCCATATCATCAGTTATGTGAGGAATGACCCTATGGGAAGGGTCATGGTGGTAGACAACATGTTCTGTATGCAGAAAATCACAAGTTCAGTCCCTGAAATTTCCAGTTAAATTATTCAAGGGAGAAGGCCCATGATGGACCTCTCCTGGAGACACTGCCAGTTTGAATAGGCAAGCACATGGGTACATGGACTAAGGCCTGTCGACCAATGAATCAAAAAGATGTCATTTTCCATATCTTCCTAGGTCTTGGTGTATGACAAACACTTTGAGCTGGTATGGTGAGAAACAATGTCTTGGATTCTTCTACTGTGTGGGTTTTCGGAGGTCTGGGTGGTGGATTTGTGGCTTGATTTCCATATTTCCTCATCATGTAATACTGTTCTTCTGTAACCTCTTCCACAATAGACTTTATTGGGAGATAGCCTATATCTTCAACATGGTTTCTCAGAAACTGGAAGGACACATTTAAATGATGCACAGGAACCTCCCAGATTTCTGTGGGGTCATTTAAGCTGCTGATTAGCAGGCAAGAATCTATGATTTTCTCTTCAAGCTGCAGACATGGTACACCAGCCAAAATATCTTCTGGGATAGAAAGATCCCTCATGGCAACTTCAACATTAAATGGAAGGTGGAAATCTTCGCAAATCTCCATAAGTTCATACAGTCTCTTATCATGAACAAGTTCAACAAAGCTCCCTTCCATGCACATTGGAAGCCGTGCACTCTTGTAGGTTTTATTTAGCAACAAAATTTGTTCACAGGACAAAGCAGATTCCACTTCTTTTTCCCCCAGTTCAACAGTTTCACTTATCTGGCGCTGTGGAATTAGAAAATGGTCTCCAGCAGAAACAGAACTCAATTCTTCATAAGGAGACTTGAAAGCTTTGGTAGCTGTAACATGAAGCTTCTCTTTCATATTCCTTGCTATTTCCAGGTCATAAGCAGTTGGAAATTCCCGAGGTCTTCTTTTAAACTTCCCTTTGTAGCTGGTAGGAATCAAAAAGTGTCTCCTATCGGGATTGCTCTTGATCTCAGATGCTAAGATTCTTGTTGCCTGACACTTCTTATAGATGACTATTTCTCTACCAGGACACAATAAATTATATGAGTGCTTGCTTCCAACAGAGCCTTCAATTACTGCAACAACAACAGGATATTCATCACATGCCTTTTCCAATATATCTTCCACTGATAATGGCTGAAGAAAACTGTTAATATTGTAAGAGGCAGTCACATCTTTGACTTCAACATCTAAATCAGAAAAGAAGTGAACAGTATCTTTTTGAACTGAAAAGGAAAAATAATACAAAATTCAAGTTAATAATTTGATAAGGATGGAAGGAGACAGTGATAACAGTATAAAGATATATTGTGTAAAAATACAAATATTTTCTATATACTTCTATGGTTTTTGCAGTAATTTCTGGTTAACTACTTTTTATACAGTATTTATTTATTACTTCTACTAATGTATTTATTTCAGAAAAACTTTATATCACTTTTTTTTTGCTTTTTTAAGCCTGGAAGCAATTTCCAGCAATAGCACACAATTTCTTTAACTAAAGAAATACAGAATTATCTTTTACACATTTTATATTTTTAAAATATATCTTAATGTTTACAAATAACATACAATTAATATGCAAAACAGTATATATTACACAAGGTTGTAGATCACCATCGGAGGGAGGGACCTCTTTTGAGTACTTTATACCCAGAAAACCTTGAAAAAGGTCACCATTAGTCAGAATGGCACACTGTTGTTGTTGAATCAATTGCTGGAAGGTAAATTAATCCATACATAAATCCCACTGATTCTGAGTCCCACTGATTGCTGGGATTAGCAATGGAATTTGATCCTAAATTAATGTATGGCCAAAATCCTGTAGCATAAATTATGTCTGTATGCAGGCAACAACATCATTGGCAGATGGACATTGTTCCTTTCATCTGAGAGCGCAAGACAACTCGTGTGAACCTCAAGACTGAAGGAGGAACTCTTTAATTCAGCGGTTTTCACAATGGATGTTGTTACCACCACTAGCAGATTCATGGTAACAAAAAGAGTTCCTCTTTCTTTCTTGGGGTTTGCTCAACATTCCCAGAATGACACTGACTGTGGGAAAGTTATATCAAATTGTGTGAACCCTGAAACTGAGGGAGAAACTCTAATTCTTAGCAATCTCCCCCTACAGGTGACATCATCACCCTTATGGGAGTGTAATTTACACTACATGATTTTGGCCTATATGCCAGTAGGTTGAGAATTGAAAGAAACTGTAGTATTTCCAAAGTTGAGGAGGAATAATTTACTAGCAAGGTAGTCACAAATAAACAAACCAGTGGTGGGATGGGCATAACAAAGGTAATTCTCAAAAGTTATGAATAGGGTTTCTGTTACTGCCTATAAAGTTGGAAGGGAAGTGCATGCGTAATGTGTAACAGTTTCTAGTTATTTTTGAAGGCCATTTTCAAAGTCATTTAGAGTATGATTTTTTTTTCAAGCTTTAGGATTATACCACTCAAGAATTTATCATGAAAAATGTAATGAATAGCAATGTATAATGTAACTGACGTTGCTGGGTCTCAGGGCCATGTACTTCTCCCGGTCTCCAGGCAGGAAGACAAACTCAAGCAAGGAGAGTAGAAGAGAAAGTGGGCATAAGTATTGAAGACTAAGCACATATCACCCTGTGTAGCAGGGCTCATTGGCTCAGCATTAAGGGATTTGCATTTGTGTTGTAACTGTGCAACACTGGTGCCCCCAAAAGCCAGGAATGGGGAGAAGCAGTCAATTCTGGATTTCTGATAGGAACATGTGGCAGGAAAAATATATATAATTTGAGCGGGATGCAAAGTGTAGCTCTAAACTTTGAGAAGTCCTTTTAAAAATGTGCCTCAGAGAGGTGTCTTATTGAAAAACTACAACTTAAAAGTGAAAGTACTGTTGAAAAACTACAACGGAGAACAAAACCAAACAACTGATTTGTTTTTGGTACAGAGATGAGTAAATAAAAATGAGATGGCAGTAGCTCACTTCTATGAGTTTTGTGCCAGTTTTTTGATGATGCTTAGAGCTAAGTGATGCTTTTTATTTTCTACGTTTTTACTTTTTAAAATTTAAATACCTTTTCATGCCTGCCACTGAAAACTATAAGGCTTTTGCATTTTTTTTATTTTAATCTTAAGAACTCTGAAATGTTCAAAAATGTATTCTTTGCCTTATTAATGCCCTTGGGCCGATTGGAGCAAGGTAGGAAGTAGAGTGCCAGCATAATGGCTTACAAGGTATTCCTGATGTGTGAGTATTGGCAGCAGTGGCATCGGGCCTGCAAAAAACACCAAACAAACAAATGGGGGGGAAAAAGGAACAGTGAGCTGGTCAAATTTTCTTAAGTTCCCACAGCAGTACAAATCCTGGACCACCCCATCACAGGTGCTACTTGAAAGTCTGCATTAGATGCAAACACTAGCAAGAAAGGCTGCAGTGCCTGTACCTGCCCAGTGGATGAACATGTTTGTTTTCCATATTAACTAACCATCTAACTGGATTCTGAGTCTCTATACCCTTATCCTGTCTGTTTCCACAACCAACTGACCCAGATGTAGTTCTCAACTCTCTTCCAGCCCATGCTTGCCCCAGCTCTGTGACATCACAGAGGACTATATAAGAAAAGCTTTCAGGTTCTCCAGAAATCTTCTTCAGGAGAAGACAGTATACATACTGGGGTTACGGCAAACAGCCCAGAGGCTACAAAAGATGCAATGCCCTTGGCTCAAGAAGCTAACACAGCAACAAAGTTTGCAAAGAGGGATCCATCAGCAGTTCCTTCTTTGCTGCTGTGAATGCCTCACAAAGCCCTTTTTATTTGTATTTGCTTCTTACACTACCATGATTGGTTGTCTGGGAAAAATTCTGGTGTCACATGAAGAGGCTGTTTCATGAGGTTGAAATTGTTAGCCTGGTTGAATCTAAACTCCCTGCTACTGGAACCGAGTGGAAATGAAAGGGGTCTGCAGTTCATAGAACCTGACACCAAATAAACCTTGATGACACAACAGTCTGTGTTGTTTAAGAAGGAGAAAAAAGAAGTTTAAAAAAGTGTGCCTTCAGATCTTCCCATCAGGTGGATTGTTATACCTATGTATTCAAAAGAATGCACATGCATTATAACAGTAATCCTTACAACAACTTGTTAAAACAAGTCATTTTTATAATCTGTATACTGCAGTCAGTGATCACTGAAAAGCTGTGGTCTGCACCTGGTAAAAGTGTTCATCAAATTGAAAGCAGATATCAGGTCACATCCCATATATATTCTATATACATAGCTGGTATATTAGTGACTCCATCAGTCAAAGCAAGATCACTGAGATTGACAAGATTTTCTATAAAGGGAATTATGACTCTTCAGTTGATGTTAGTGCTCTGCGAGAAATCAATTAGTCCCTTTTAGCAGTACCTATTTTATTTAACAACAGAATGTATGCTAAGTCTGACACTGCTATCTCATAATGTTTCAGAAAAAAAGTGGGAATCCGTTTTTCACAGTTCACAAAGCAAATACCTCATCATACAAAAGTAAGTTGCTTCTAAATAAAATATTGTAGAAGATATTTAGAAAATAATTCACTCCAATTTATATGTTGAATGCATGGTAGAGCACATGGCTATGTCTGGAAATAGAAAAACTGCTGAAGCATACATTGGTACCCAGAGCTGTAAAACTATATTCTTGACTTTATATGACAAATAGATAAAACTGAATTCAAGGCTTATGTCCAGATAGTCAAACAGGGTGGGAATGTGGGGGGGGGGGGAATTAGATTTTAGGCTGGAATCATATAGGCCTGTGATATATATGATTGCATCATTATTTCCAGAACCTTTCTGGCTGTGAGTCTCTTTCATGGTTGACTCAGGGCCAAGCTAGATGATGAGTTTATCATATGTTTTCAGAGGTGTTTTTTTTTTTGAGGCAGTCAAGATTGTCTAGTATGATTTTCATCATCTATTTATCTTGCAGTTAGCTAGCTTTGTCTTGTGATCAGTCACTGACTGTTAATTAACCAGCCATTGATCATTAATCAATTGGGCCTTAAATTAATGTCATTGTTGAAACAGATACCACTGAGGGAATATGGATATGGGAATGAATGTGGATTAATTGCAGGAAATATATATTTCCTTTAACATCTACTTCAGAGGTTCTCAAACTTTTAGGCATTACATTCAGCCCATTTATTTTGTGTGTTGTTTTTTTTACAAACCTCATGCCGCTCCCTCTTCTCTTTAACATAATCTCCACCCCCTTTTAACAACGACAACAAAAATTAAATTCTTGCTTCAATATTAAAAATAAACACAAAGTCTCGGTAAAAGATTATTTTAAATTAAACAGACCCAGAAATGGTTGTTGTGGGTTTTTTGGGCACTTTGGCCGTGTTCTGAAGGTTGTTCTTCCTAACATTTTGCCAGTTTCTGTGGCCTGCATCTTCAGAGGCCAGGAGTAGCACTCTTCCATTTATAGCACTCCTATATAGTATAGTGTGTCATTTTGATTCAGTGCTACTCCAGCCCTCTGAAGATGCTGGCCACAGAGACTGGTGAAACGTTAGGAAGAACAACCTTTAGGACACGGCCAAAAAGCCCAAAAAACTCACAACAACCATTAGATCCCAGCCGTGAAAGCCTTCACGAATACATAGACCCAGAAATATTTATTTACTATTGCAAATACACATGGACAAATATTTAACCAGAACTGTTTTTCTCTGAGCAGAACTGACAAGCGTGGAGAAGTTTAAGCCTCTTATAGTGGGCTCAGGTATCTCGGAACATATCCTACTGTACTCAAGGGAACTTTTCTAATAATATGAACACAACCAATCTACAGTTCTAATAACACTCAGAAAGGTCCTATTCCTTAAAGCAGAAGCTTCCGTGTTAATACCTTAAGATGCAATTCTGTCCATATTTATTTTTCAGAAGCAAGTCTGACTGTATTAAAGTTATTTTAAGCTTCCCTGACACAACACTATACTATATAGGAGTGCTACAAATGGAAGACACTGCTTATAACGTGTCTGGCTACTGTCAGGAAGTAGCTCTTCAGTATGTTGTATAAAAAAAGCTACAAAGAATATTACAAGAACCTTGAAGACCAATATGTTTTATTTGGTATAAGCATTGCGGGGTTTTTTTAAAGTGACCACAAGACATCGTATTGTCTTATTTTGTTGCACAAAAGCATCTCTTAGATATGAGTGTAAAATATATATTTCCATATACATATTGAAGTGTTCTTCATGCTTCAAGGGCCTTTTTTTTCCTTCATAGCTCCAAAACTCCACAGTTACCTTTTTCCATTTGGAAGAAGTATGGGTTCAGCAATCCTCTTCCCCAAGCTTGTAGTTAAACACAGAAGAATAAAAAAGGGCAGTGGTGGTAGGAAAAGGTTACAAAGAACACAAAAAAAGGAGCAAACTCTAAATAGAATAGGAGAGAATCCTTTCTGAAGGCATAAGAGCATTTCTTAGGAGATCTTTAGAAATCCTAGGTGGGTGTGTGCAAGTGTCTGTGCGTATCTATATTTCTATACCCTATCCATATCTATTCCAGATGTTATACAGAATAGATTTTTAAAAATAGACTTTCTTTTCTTCTCTGTTCACAATGCATTTGTCCCATTTGGTTAAAGGTTAAGGAAAATCAAGAACAAATATGCTCACTTCGCTGTCCCTATTTCAAACCTAATATTTAACATGGAATCAAAATGAACCATTTCTTGAAATTCCACCCGATTTCTCCGTGACATCTTGCTTTCTGTATGAAGCTTTTGTGGGTGGATGTCCTGTCATGGAGGAGCACTCAGCCAGATAAATGTCACTTGCAATTTCAAGTGAAAGAGGCGAAAAACAGGTGTACAGTGTTTAGTATCTGCTGTCTGCAGTCTGAGAACTAATTATTAATTTGAGCTTTTCTTCAACCTACAGAAGGAATAATGATAACAATTGTGCGTTGTCAAGTCAATTCTGACTTTGGGTGACCCCTTTCCAGGGTTTTCTAGGTAGGAAATGCACATGAGAATTATGCCATTCCCTTCTTCTGGGGACATTCTGGGACTGTGTGGCTTGCCTATGGCTACACCGGCTTGCTTTTCCCATAGGAGGTACAATGGGGGGGGGGGGCAAACTGCTAATCTCTGGCTCCACAGCTAAATACCTAAACCATTGAGCTACCCAGGCAGATAAATAAAGAAGAGTTTACATGAGTGAAACTCAGTGTTTCCTACCTTTAGTCTGGTTTCCCTATCTAGGTAAATACAAGCCATTGTCTCACCTACTGTACAGCAACTCTCCAGAATATCACAGTCTTTCTCCTTACCTGCTACTGGATTTCTTCCCCAACTTCAGCTATAGTGGATTTAACCTGGGGTTATACGGTAGAGCTTGGAAAGACAGTTGTGATAAGAATGGCCCTAATGGCATGCTGGAGGCATCCATAACTGAGCAGTCACAGAGCATCATCCTATCATTGCTCAATTATAGATGGCTTCAGCATGTCATTACATCCATTCTTCTTCTAAAAAGAACTGTATATGCTCTCACATTTACATGCAAAGAATGTGGTTTACCACTGAGCTATAGCTGCTCGCCAGCATTGCAGCTGCGTTTCCTCAAACAGTGAATTGTGCACTAATACAATGTTTTAAATTAGAACTCTTTCCCTATTTTCATTTTAGTCTGGCACATGACTAGAGATCAACAGGACACACATATATCTCAGAATGCTGACATGGGTCATCAAGAACAATAAAATGTATAAGAAATGTAATCAAGTTTGTGTAGGATTGAAAAGCAAAAATGCTCCTATTAAAACATTTTCCCCCCTCAGCCCTATAACTGACAACTCTTCATGCCATGGCTACAGATCACTTTGCAGTTCAGACAATGTTTAAAGCCTGTTTGTGTGGCTTTTGAATAAAGACATAAAGTCTACTTGCATGCATGCATAATAAATAAATAAATAAATAAATATCTGATACTTTTTGATCCTCAACAAAACTGATTTTTTCCCCAAGTTGTGAGAATTTTTTTGATCCTGTACACCATTGGAAAAGCCAGGGGCATAGGAGAGGAGCTGGAGGTAGCACCAAGAAAGACTTTTTTGTTTCTTTTGACAAAAAACAAAACTAAACTAAACAAAAAAAAACTATCTTGAGTATTTAAAAAACTTTCTATGTTGGTCAAAATATGAAGATTTTTTAAAATATCAAAACTAATTTTGTTGGAAGGTTCAGCTTCTTTCCCCAGCCCCTTTGAATAATGTACAAAAACTCTAGCAATCTTATCCTGTAAGGGAAAAAAACTTACTTTTTTTTGTTCTCTTGTGAGAATGAAATAAGTCATTACTTATACTTCTACTTTTGAGGACCTTGCTAATTAGCCACAGATATTTCACTATGTTATTCACTGACTTACATTTCATCACTGCTTGTATTTCATATATGGGTGATAGAACGAGGCAACCATTAAGATCCACAGGCAGCAAATGGGTGGAGTCCACAGCACTGCATATATCTGTAAATATCACATTCCGACATCTGCTCCTTGGGATTTTCCATCCAGCAATCTCTTCTATGGTATATGTTTGGTCATCTTCCCATTCATAAAAATCACCTTCTTGTGAAAGTGGCAAAACGAACACATGCATTTGGTCATTCCTGATCACTCCACAATTTACAGTCAAAATCCCACTGCTGTCTTCCACAGAGCTGAATATAATCTTTTCACCCTGTTGGATGGTCAGGGTCTCTGCATCTATATCTTGAGAGCAATAGAAGCAAGGTTGCTGCGATTCTGGTCCAATCAAAACAGTTCTCACAATTTCTTCAACGTTAGCATATGGTTTTTTATCAGCCACAATTCTGAAAAGGCCTTCAAAGGAAGATTTTGAATCAAGAAAGAGAACTTGAAATATGTGAGCACCCAAGAGTATACAATATATAAATTAGCATTTATATATAATTTTATTTTATTGGTATGCAAAATGAACTTATTGCTGAAATAGCCAGAAGCACCCACAAATCACTTTTAATCAGGAGCAAATTGCCCTTAATCCATGGTGATTTGCTGCTGATGCTGACATCACATCCTTTGTCCACATGAAGCTCTGCTACAAGATTACCACTATTGGCCTAGAGCTCACAATAATTAGAAAAAAAAATCAGGTAAATTCATTTTCAAATAAAATTGAAATTCATTACTAAAATATCTCCGGTAGATCTCACATAATTATAAGCATTCAGAAATTCTGTATAAAACATGTAAAATAAATGTACAATTTTGAAAAGAATAATCATCACTGTGTAAACTCTTTTCACAAACCCATTTACTTTATTTCACAGATGTGTGTGTGTGTGTGTGTGTGTTTTCTCTCTCTGCTAGCTTCAATATAAAGAGGGTGATAAGAACAGATAAGAATGGGAGAGTTTGCCCCCTCGTCCTCCATGCATTTTTATTATGGTAAATAAGCCAGGAAAGGAAAAAGAAAGAAAGAAAACAAAAATAAACCCTCACCAGAGTTAAGGCCTCCCAAGGCTAACCCGTCAATTGTCTGAATGTTAATCAAAGCTTGCCACCATCCCTCCCCTCTCCTACGTCCCTCCCCCACAAAAAATCTGGGGCTTTGCATGGGCTCTGTGGCTCAGTTTGAGGGGAGGCCTCTGGGCCTACTAATCTTTCTAAGCCGGTTCAGTTCTCGCCCCTGTTCCTTTTTTAATGTGCCAAAAAGAGAGAGAGATCATAAATTTCCCTCTTGTAATATTAATATCCCTTTATAGTAACCTCTTGAAGTGAGATCCCTTTACGTGGGCTTGAGTGTGCTTTATTTCACAGATGTGTGTGTGTGTGTATGTTTTCTCTCTCTGCTACCTTCCAAATAAAGAGGGTGATAAGAACGGATAAGAATAGGAGAGTTTGCCCCCTCTTCCTCCATGCATTTTTATTATGGCTGTGTGTGTGTGTGTGTGTTTTCTCTCTCTGCTAGCTTCAATATAAAGAGGGTGATAAGAACAGATAAGAATGGGAGAGTTTGCCCCCTCGTCCTCCATGCATTTTTATTATGGTCAGATATATTAATACTTGATTAGGGTTAGGAAGTGTTCAAGAGGCTAGAATTTACCTCAGAAAAGCAAAACCCTGATCATCAAGATTTCTGAGATTTCACTAACAGCATGGCTGAATAGAATTGTGGCCCATTAGCCTTATTCTGGCCAGATTTGATGACATACTCAGCTTCTATATTTATTTTAACATCCTCTGCTTTTAATTTAAAATATGATAACTACCTAGACTTTGTGGTGATGTAACCACATTTTTTGCAAAAAGTGCAAATCTTTACATCTGGGGTTGTTGGTTTTGTTCTTTAAATAAGTGTGTCTATAGGGCTTTATTATCACATTCAGTGATTAGAGATGGGCACAGACTACGAATTCGGCAATTTTGTCCTGGTTTGTTTACCACTGCAACAAGTGTTCAGGGGTTCGGCAGTCTGCTCCTTCTGACAGGCGCCCACTCAGAGACAGCATCCTGGCTTCCCTGCCCTGCTTCCTCTAGGAGCTGCTTCTGAGTGAGCGCCCACTGGAGGGGGTAGGGGTAGGGCACTGAACCACCAAACACATGTTGCAGCAGTGAACAAAGCAGGCCAAACCACCAGTTCATGCCCACCTCTATTAGTGATAAGTTGTTAAATTTTTAAGTTGTTGTATCTTTAATGCCTTTAAGTCTTGAGTAGTTGGAAATATTTATTTCCCCCAAAAGGATGCCCTATGGATCAGAGTTCCTTCTTTCTCCATTCATCTCCTCCATCTTGTTTGGTGGCCCATGGACCAGTATGGCACCGAGGGGGAATAGGAAGCACTCTAATGAGAGGCAGTGATGGGAGGTGGGCGTTAGATGTGCAACAACTGGTACCCTGAGTGCAACAATGAGTGACCTACAAGAGGGCTAACCCAAAATCTTCCAGATTTAGAAAAGCTGGAATAATAGGCTATTCTTAAACTTCTTGAATACAGCTTTCTATCACCCAACATGTGATGCTGCTACGCCCAGATTAGTAGCTAGCTTGAGCATTTCCATTAATCATCTGTGAGCAGACAGAATCATAATTTGGATAAGCAGATCCAAGACAGAAATACAAAAACAAAAGAGCAGAAAGATCGCAAGATGGATAACCATGCCACTAGACAGATGAATTCTGCATTTAGACACTGGAGGCATCTAGTTATTGAGACCTAATTGCAACTTTGAAATATTAAAAAATATAGGAGCTTTTGAAATTGCAGTACCTCTAGGGCATTTTTGTTTCCATGTTAATCATTCCCTTTGGAATTGTTTTGTTAGAACTACACAGAAAAGAAGAATTAAGTACATATGTACATTTGGGTAACTTTTCTTTCCTGGAGGAAAATTTAATGAGACGTTCAGAGAAACGGGCAGCAATGGGATGTAATATAGTGACATGACTTGGTTGTGCTATATGATTCAGCAGTGTCATAATACCCCCCTCTCAAGTGAAAAATCTACAGCTGGATGTACATGTTGGAGAAGATATTGCCACCACTGAGAGCACCAGTGTCTCTTCCTCCACCACCTGAAAACAATATGATGTCACCATCTCTCAACTCCACTTCATGGTGACTCCTTGTGTGCAGAGGGATACTTGCCCACACTTTGTAGGGAAGGAAAAGTACACATGGGGCTGCTGTTTTCGGTAGTAATAGGGTTTTTTGTAATATACTGTCCAACTCATGTATCACTGTTATTACTTTTCTTCCACCATTTGTGAGAACAGTGTAATGAAGTTAGGTTGATTTATTATCTTTTCCTTGTTGCTTGTTTTGTATTTAATGATACAACATTATTTTAGTGTACAGCATCTTGTATGGAAAACCACCGTACCTCCATTTTAAAAGTCACTTCCACTTTTGCAAACAAACAAACAAATAAATAAAATTAAGTTAAACAATAAAACAGACAGACTGTTTGAGAAAGCAGCAGATAAAAGAGAGAGAAAACTTCCTAGTGAGAGTTTAGCAACAAGGTGAGGAAGTTAAGGGAGTCAATTCTTCCCCACTGTCTGCTGGAAAATAAATTACCTTTCTCAGATAAAGAAGCCCAACAACAAGATTTTTAAAAATCCAGATATAAAGATTGACACTAGGGATGGGGTGGCAGAACAGGGAAGGAATCTTGGAATTCAGGTGAGTAGCTCAATGTGAAAATTATCAACTCAATGTTAGGACCATTATCAAAGAAATGCATTTCAGTGCATTTATAGAAACATGCTCTAATCACATTTGGTCTTGTGTACCTGTGTAGCTACTGAACCTCTGGAAAGATACTATAGAGCTGGAAAAAAAAAATGAAACACAGGACAATGAAAATTATCATGGGCTGATCAAGTCCCCTATGAGGAAATCTTCTCAAATTTGGTGTGGAGGATAGCAGTTAAGAAAATGGCGGGGGGGACGGGAATCTACATGATGCAGAGAATTGAGTAAATTTTTATCCCTCAGATACAAGGAACTGGGGGTAATCTAATCAGATTAAAGGTAGTCATTCTTAAAATGTGTAATTAATTTTAGGCATTCATTGCCACAAGCTGTAGAGGCAGGCTCCAGCCTAGACAGTTTTAAAAGGAGACTAGATGGATTTATGGAGCATAAGTCCATTCTTGGCTGCTAGTCAGAATGGCAGTCTGCCTCTGAGTTCCATTTACTGTCCCTTCTTGTCACCTTCTCATCGGTATCTGATTGGCCACAGCAGGAACCGAATGCTGGACTAGAGGGGCCTTTGGCCCGGCCCAGTCCCACTCTTCCAGCAAATCAGTACTTCAAAAGTGGGCAGCACTCATCTGGCTTCTTGGTGAGAAAATATGAATACCTGGAAAATTTAGAGGCAGCTCAACCGTAGCAGGGCACACATTATCATCTTCACTCTCGCAGTTATTGGCAAGGATTTTTTTAACTTTTAATCCAACAACTTTGATCACATCCCCAGTCGACAAACAGTGTTCGTGGTCAAGCTTTTCAGAATCTGAGGGGGGGGGGAAACAACAAAAACAAAGATGTTTTACAGATTTGTAACCACAGTTTAAAATTACTTGACCATAAAAGTGGCTCCTTTTATTCCTTTAATGAACTATTGTCAAAAAATATTTAGTACATATGTTCCAGTCACATACTAATTTCCTTAAGAACTAAATATCAATGTAAGCCACAGCAGTAATGTTATGAAATTTGAATTGGAAGTAAATTGTAACCGGTAATGATGCAACTTCTAGAATTCAAAAAGCTGTATTTATTTATTATTTATTTAAAATATTTCTATGCCGCCTTTCTCCGCAAAAGGACCCAAGGCAGCTTACATTACTAAAACAGTATTTAAAAGCGAAAACAGTAATTCAACAAATATTAAAAAAGAATTAAACAAGCACTATATTAAAATGGTAGCTAAGATCAATATTAAAACACATTTAAAACAACAGAGCACAACAGTCCATTTAAATTCCCTCTCAGAACAGCAGTCATTTAGGAAAAGCCTGTCTGAAGACCACAACAGTCCATTTAAAATCCCTCTCAGAACATCAGTCATTTAGGAAAAGCCTGTCTGAAGATAAAGGTCTTTGCCTGCCTGCAGAAGGACAGTAAAGATAGGGCCAGCCTAGCTTCCTGTGGGAGAGAGTTCCAGAGTCTGGGAGCAGCAACAGAGAAGGTCCTCTCCTGTGTCCCCACCAAACACACCTGTGAGGGAGGTGGGACTGAGAGAAAGGCCTCCCCTGATTATCTTAATGCCTAGGCAGGCTCATAGAAGGAGATGCAGTCTTTTAGATAGCTTAGACCAAAGCCATTTAGGGCTTTATAGGTTAAAAACAGCACTTTGAATTGTACCCACAAACGGATTGGCAACCAGTGGAGCTGTTGTAACAGGGATGTTACATGTTCCCTGCAACCACCCCCAGTTAACAATCTGGCTGCGGAATTTTGGACCTTCTGGAGTTTCCAGACAGTCCCATGTAGAGTGTGTTACAGTGATCCAGAGAGGATGTGTAACCGTGGCCTGATCAGACATCTCAAGGAATGGGCGCAGCTGGTGCAATAGTTTTAACTGTGCAAAGATACTTCTGACCACTGTTGAAATCTGGGCATCCAGGCTCAGAGATGAATGCAGGAGCACCCCCAAGCTGCCTGCCTGTGTTTTCAGAGAGAGTTTAACCCCATCCAACACAGATCACAACCCTGTTCCTTGATCTGGTTTTCAACTAACCAGGAGCACCTCTGTATTTTCTGGATTAAGTTTCAGATTATTCACCCTCATCCAGTCCGTTATTGACACCAGACACTGATTTAGAACTGAGACAGCTTCCTTGGATTTAGATGGAAAGGAGAGACAGAAGTATGCCACATCAGCATACAGGTGACACTGAACCCCAAAACTCCAGACAACCTCTCCCAGTAGTTTCATGTAGATATCAAATAGCACAGGAGACAAAACAGATGCCTAAGGAACACTACAGGCCACAGACCAAGGTGTCAAACAGGCATCTCCCAGCACCACCCACTGGGTTCTCCCCTCCAGGAAGGACAAGAAAAGGGATTGTCTACTGAGGCTGAGTTTCCTGAGAGAGAGTTGTCTTATTTTGGCCCACGGTGGCACCAGCTCTGCCTTACTTCTGTAGTCTACCCTGTGGGCAAGTCTATGTCGGAACCGATCTAAAACACATATGTTCCCAGGTTACTATACACATTTTGGAACCATCTCCTTGTCCTCTCACAACACTTGATAGGGCGGACACCAAAGTGCTGGTAACAATCAGGAAACAGCCTCCTTACTGTGATTCTAAGCAGTAGCTAGAAAGACAAGTGCAAAGTTAAGAGGTAATTCTCTTGGATGGAACAAGGTGGTGATGGTGGTCATTACTAGCAGCATCGGTTTTATCACTTTTGGAGATGTGGCTTACAAGCACCCTTCAGAATCAAAGTGCAATCTCTGTGTCTTCAGTCTGAGAAGTTACATCCTGTGGTTTGATTTCTATCACATTACATGCCCAACTAATACCAGATCATAGTGAATGATCGAACGACACTCACAGTATTTTAAAGTGCCTGATCAGCACTCTTGCATTCATCATAGGTGCCATTGTCCTGTTCCATAGTATATCGCCTTCCAACGAAAATATGTGGAACTGTTTATTTCACAATGGGTGAGACTAAAAGTGCAGTAATAGTCTATAAACTTAGAAGAATATTTATATTCTGTTGGATAAAATTAAAGAAAAGCACAAACTATCATTTGATGGTTCAGTTATTGGCTGAGTAGGCGTATGGTGCTTTACGGCCCCGCCTCCTCCAGGCACTGTCTCTGAGTGGCTGCCCACTGGAGGACGGGGCAGGGAAGCACCAAACGCCTATTTGGTTGATAAATGAACTGGCGTGAGCTGCCAAAGTGATGGTTTGTGCCCATCTCTAGTCAAAATTCTATTGGGTTTTTATTCTGGCACATTGCAAATGGAGATTAGGTTCCTCAAGTTAAGATATCACTGTAGACATTATCTGCTGTGTGCTGAGTCAGACAATTCAATACACAAGAGATAATGACTCTAATGATTTTTTTGAGGCAAATTACACCATTTGAGTCATGATTGTGGGGCTAACCAACATGATTTTGGCCATTATAAATAATTTATAAATATTTGTGTGTTATTCATATTTATAGTATTATTATATTCTTGTGCACAGACTATATACTGCATTGAAGTTAATTATCAGAAGGCACTGTATGGGTTAAAACCTAGATAGAAATGTTTAGCTCAATATTCAGATTGAATTTTATAAGAGATTAAACACAAATCTGCTCATTATGCATATGTTGTTGTTCAGTCATTAAGTCGTGGCTGACTCTTTGTGACCCCATAGACCAGAGCACGCCAGGCCCTCCTGTCTTCCACTGCCTCCCAAAGTTGAGTCAAATTCATGTTGGTAGCTTTGATGACACTGTCCAAACATCTCGTCCTCTGTTGTCCCCTTTTCCTCTTGCCTTCACACTTTCCCAACAGCAGGGTCTTTTCCAGGAAGTCTTATCTTCTCATGAGATGGCCAAAGTATTGGAGCCTTAGCTTCAGGATCTGTCCTTCCAGGGAACACTCAGGGTTGATTTCCTTCAGAATGGATAGGTTTGTTCTCCTTGCAGTCCAGGGGACTCTCAAAACTCAAAATTCACCACAATTCAAAAGCATCAATTCTTTAGCGGTCAACTTTCCTTATGGTCCTGCTCTCGCTTCCATACATTAATACAGGAAAAACAAAAGCTTTGACTATGCAGACCTTTGTCAGCAAGGTGATGTCTCTGCTTTTTAAGATGCTGTCTAGGTTTGTCATTGTTTTCCTCCCAAGAAGCAGGTGTCTTTTAATTTTGTGGCTGCTGTCATCATCTGCAGTGATCATGGAGCTCAAGAAAGTAAAATCTGTCACTGTCTCCATATACAGTGGTGCCTCGCTTAACAGGCACTCCATTTAGCGATGAAATCGCTTAGTGATGACTTTTTCGGAGCGTTTTTGTGCTTCGTTTAGCGATGGTCCCTATGGGCGATTTTCGCTTAGCGATGGTTGGGACCATGCTTCGCATAGCAATTAAATTTTGGGTCCCCTGTTTCGCTTAACAATGGTTTAAACAGCCTCATGTTTGCTGTTTTTTAAATGTTTTTCTGTTATTTATAAAGTTAAAGTTTACTGTTTAAAATGTTTGAAATCATAAAGTGCACTTAATAAACACTTTGTTAACCAAATTTGACTTTGTTCTGACTCTTTTTTAATTTGTTGTTGTATTTTCCCCCCATTGAGATGCATTGAATAGGTTTCAATGCATTTCAATTAGGGAACCACATGTCGCTTAGCGATGTTTCCTATGGCGATTTTCACTTAAGGATGGCAATTCGTTCGTATTGGAATGGATTATCCGGTTTTCAATGCATTTCAATGGGAAACCACGTTT